TTTTTTCTTAGCTTTTCAGGCTTAAGATTTTTAAATTTGTTTTTAATATTTTGAACATAAATGAAGATTTGATACATTCTTCCAAAAGGGTAAATTATTCATGCTCAGTGTGAGAACTTCATTTTGTAGCAAATGACATATCACAGGATTTGTTCAAATAGTAAATATTTTCAGTATACGAATGTAAATAATCATAGATAAGAATGTACTTAGCGGTATTTTCAAGTAAGTAACCTTCCCCTCTTTTTTAAGACATTGAATCTAGGCATCAATTTGCCTGCTTTTCCTGATACATCTGGTATTTTGTTGTGATGATTCATTCCATTATATTTCAGAAGGTTTCAGAGTGTTCAAAATTATTTTGACAGCCATGACCTGTGTCACTGACACTTTCCTTGGCCAGTGGATCAGAATAGAGTTCATTGCTAATTATAAATTACTAATCACTCTTTTTAATATTTCAAGCTATAATGGAAAAAATTAGCCACTTTTGTGTTTTTATGAAGGCCATGGAGTAAAGGTATCCAAAGATTTAAATATTTTTATCTGTTTTGATTTTTAACATTATCCTTAAAACATGCAGTAGTGATAAAGATGTAGAAATAGAAAATTGTGCTGTAGGAGAATTGGAATATTTAAAGATGGTTGACATTTTTAATTTTATATCTTTTGTATAGCTCTACAATGAACTGTTTTGTAATTTGGTTTCATTACTAAGATCAAGTATTTGGCATCCTAAGTTTAGATAATGTTTAGTACTATTTGCTTGCATGTTAACAAAATCTTTGGAGGACCCTCAAATCATGATATTGAACACATTTCTGAGGCATTCTGATCATCAAAGAAAGTGCTATGGCAATACCTGAGTAGACTGAGATGTTCCTGGCTGATTTCAAGAAGAAAAACTGTAAAATAATAGTTCTACGTGCTCTGAAAGTATTGGGGCATTTGTTGTCCCAGTAACAACTGGCAGCATGACATACCTGCAGTGCACCTTACAATATTAGCAAGGTTTTTATTCTAAAACAGAATAAAACTGTTCAATTAAAAAATGTTCGTCAAAGTTCTTTCTCTTAAATAGTAATATATTCTTCCAATAAAAATATAATAAAAGGCATTGTTAAAGTAGGTCAAAATTGATAGTTTTCTATTCAGTGATAATTAAATCAATCTCTAACTTTATTTCTAAGATTTATTTATTGTTGAGAAGCTAAAAGTTTCTTTCTCTTCTGAGACAGGAAGACACCAAGCCAATTTGAAACAGCCAAGCTGGAAACCAGTCCAGAGGTGACCCAAACCCTGTGGACAGGTAGATGCAGAAGATGGGCTGAAGGGGTGAGCTCAGTGGTATAGCATTTGTCTAGTGTGTTTGAGCCCCTGGGTTCATTTTCCAGCAACTGGAAAAAAAAAGACAGGGAAAAGAAAAAATGCAAAGCTTTTCTGTTAAACTCTTTCTTCCTTCAAAGACAGGACTTATGTAAGTGGTAGAAAGAGACCAGGAATGTTAATCCACTCTGACTTAAGCAGTTGAACAGGCATCCAGCAAATACTTAGGAATGTAAAGGATGTGTTTTGGTTATTACAGGGACCAGGGACTGCCATTACTTAAGAGTCACAGGCTCACTGGTGGAGCACACCTATAATCTTAGCACTTGGGAGGCTGAGGCAGGAAGACAGCAAGTTCCAGACATGGTGAGGTCCAGGCTGACCTAAAGTATACTGTAGTGGGGCCGGGGAGATGGCTCAGTAGAATAAGCGCTTCCCTGGCAAGCGCAAGGGTCTGAGTTCAATCCCCAGTTCCGCAATAAATAAATAAATAAATATAAATATAAAAATAAAAATAAAAAATAAAGTATACCGTAGTATCTTGTGGCAAAAAACAAGAGTTACAAGCCAGAGATGGTTAAGTGTGCCATGCTATGCAGGACAGTACCACATGATAGAATTTCCAGCTCTGCTAAGCATGGTGACACACACTTATGATTCCAGCACTCTTGGAGGTTGGGACAGGAGCTCACTGCAAGCTCAAGGCCTGAACTATGTAGTGAGACCCTGTTTCAGAAAGGCCAAAAATAATTTTCCAGCTCAAACTGTAAAAATGTCCCTTACACTTGAAAAAATACATGCCAGTCTCTTCACATGGAAAGATTTTTTTTTTTTTTTTTTTTTTTTTTTTTTTTTTTGGCCAATTTTTAAAAAAATTTTCCCCTTTTTTTTTTTTTTTTTTTTTTTTTTTGCGGAACCGGCGATTGAACTTAGGTCCTTGAGCTTGCCAGGCAAGTGCTTATTCTACTGAGCCATCTCCCCGGTCCCTAAATCTTCACTATTTAAGAAGTTTTTTTTAGCCAGGCATGGTGGTACACGCCTGTAATCCCAGCACTCAGGAGGCTCGGGCAGGGTGCTGTGAATTTGAGGTCAACCTGGGCCAATCCGAAGTGCATTGCAAAAGTATCTCCAAAAAGACAGTAATAATCACATGGGATATAAAAGGACAACATAGAAGTATCTCATCCCTTTATCGTAGAGTAATTTGCATCCTCCATCGGTGGGTCCCAAGTCTTTGATTAGAATCTGTAGGAATCCTGTAGAATTTAGACAAATATTCAGGCTCATTTTGAATTTGTGATCTGTCTCAGCCTCCCAGTGTTGGTAGCTTTTTTTTTTTTTTCCAGTACCAAAGATTGAACTCAGGGCCTTGCAACCACCCCTAGCTCTGAAGAGCATTTTTAAGATTCAGATTCCCATACCCAACACCCAGACAGTGATTCTGAAGTTCTCTACTGGGGCCTGGTGATCTGTCTCTTATCAGGCTTTCAAGTAGTGCTGAGAGGTATTAGTTTCACAGGTATCCATGTTTGAAGAGATAGTTACACAGCATCCCAGGTGGCTTATCTAGTCAAGCCCGTCCTTTGAAAGCCATGATAGAATTTCCACAGTAGGAATATCTTATTTTCCCCATCCCTCCATATCCAAAATACAGGCTATATCTGCAGCATAAAGACAATAATCTCAGGGAAAAGCAGAGCTTGAGACTCAAGTGTTCTTTAGGGTCTGACTGCTTTTGAGTACTAAGACTTTTTTTAATTGCTAGTATAGTAATGAGTGTGTTTTTCTTTATATGACTATTATCCCTTACTCAGTTTTCTGCTGTTGGAGAAGTAGCCTGTCCTTTTCCTGAAAAGGGTTAAGTTCTCGCTCTTCAGATCTAGTATGCCTAGATTCAGTGTGGCTCTTCTTACCCTGTTCAGATACTAAGCTTATTTTAAACTGTAAAGGTGAAAAGTCACAGAGTGAAGTGATCAAGATGAATGGTCATTCCTATAGGAGTTGTAATAGTAATAGGCTACATAATAGTCTCCACATTACTATTAATCTCTGAATCTGATGCCATTAAATAGGTACTTGTATTGGTTTCTCCCAAAATGGAGATGGGATAATTTGGAAGAGATGCCAGGCAAGAGCAAGTCAGCTAAATGGAGGGAGGGAGGGATTTCAGCAGCTGAGGCCAGGCAGCGAGCTGCTGGTGTGTACACTGGAAAGCTAGAGGTGCCGGGATTGGGCACTGCTGTTATGGGAACAAGCCTCGCCTCCTGAGGAGTGATGTGAAGGTTCTCTCCTATTTATCTGACCCAGCATTAAGAAAAGTTAGCTTGCCAGTCATGGTGTCGCACACTTATAATCCAGCACTCAGGTGGCTGAGGCAGGAGGATCTCCGTGAGTTCAAGGCCAGCCTGAACTGCATAGCAAAACCTGTCTACAAAAAAATAATAAGTTTGAGGCTGGGAGATAGCTCAGTAGAATAAGCACTTGCCCGTCAAGCACAAAGTCCTGAGTTCAATCCCCAGTACCGCAAAAATAATAGTAATAAGTTTGTGCTTTAGAGACAAGTAAAAATCTGCCTACAGGGACTGGGGAGATGGCTCAGTGGAATAAGCACTTCTCTGGCAAGCACAAGGGTCTGAGTTCAATCCCCGGTTCCGCAAAAAAAAAAAAAAAAAAAAATCTGCCTACAAGAGCACAAGACAGAAGCCAGGCATGATGGCACACCCTGTGATCCCAGCATTCAGGCAGTTTGAGACCAACCTAGGCTACAAAGTGAACTCAAAGCCAACCTGAACTGCATAGCAAGACCTTGTCTCAAAAAAGACCAACGAAAAGAGAGCACGAGGTAGGACTATGAATCTAATGTAGTTTCTCTTCTCCATTATGGTGCTGTGAGCCAGTGGTGTGGATGTCCTTTACACTCCAGCTCAGTTCATATTTAATGAATTTGGCTGACTGATAAAAATATTTTCAGGTTTAAGTCATAAGTACATCAAAATAGTCCTGAGTATTGAGGACTATTCTCATTCCAGGTCATAATGAACATTGACTTTAAAGAAATGCTTTAAAAAAGTGGTGCCCGTGTGGTTTACAGGGAAACAAAGCCGCTCTGTGAGGCCAGAGCATATTTCATTTCAATAACAAGGCTTTCTTAGCGTGACTCATAGTCACTCATGGTTTAGTGGCACAGAAACAACTGAGAGCAGC